ACACACACACACACACACACACACACACACACACACACACACACACACACACAGAGATCCATTTCATTGAATAGCGTATCTGAGACACACACACACACACACACACACAATAATATAATGTAAAAGAAATAATATCTAGAGAAATAAGTCTGTAAAATAGGCAGAAATGTGCAGGGTTTCTATAGCGTAATAAACACCAGACAATACAGCACTGCAGACTATTACACATGTGCAGAAAATACACGTTAACACAATTTTCAAGCTTAAAAGTTGATAACAAAGATCAAGATCCCATGATGCAGCTCAAAAGCAGAAATAAATGAGGAAAAATGAAAACCTGAATCATAAACTGTGGAAACTGTAAATTCAGGGTAATTTGGCACAGTGTGGTCTCCGGTGCAGCTCTCCACAGGTGTTTGAGTTTCTGAACCTGATCCTGTGCTGAATAATTGACAGGGGAAACGAACGCTCAGCGCTCCTGGATCTCCTCCGAGCATCAGAAACAGCATCAGACTCCACAGGTGGAACTGAAGCTCACAAACTGAAGGATGTCCAAGAGAAGATGGGTGGAATTCAAGATCAGCCAAACCATCAGCTGCTCAGCTCCGGTCAGCCGCAGGAGTAGACCTGCATGTCCATCTCCAGGTAAACCAACATCTCTGCTGCATATGCTGACCTCAGATCAACAGAGCGTGCATGATGTGTGTGTATGTGTGTGTGTGTGTGTGTGTTTAAGAGTTTCTTCACTGATGCTTTTTTAATATATATTCAAAAATAATACAATATAGGGATATATATAATCACTGTATAGATGTCTCTCACTGATGATTTTTAATATACAGCTAAAATAGTGCAATATAGGGCTATATATACTGTATAGATGTCCTTCACTGATGCTTTTAAATATATAGGCAAAATAATACAGTATAGGGCTATATATATATACTGTATAGATGTTCTTTACTGATGCTTTATAATATATATGCAAAATAATACAATATAGGGCTATATATGCTGTATAGATATTTTTCACTGATGCTTTTAAATATATAGGCAACATAATACAGTATAGGGCTATATATACTGTATAGATGTTATTCACTAATACTTTTTGATATATAGTCAAAAATGATACAATATAGGGATATATATATATATATATATATATATATATTCACTGTATAGATGTCCTTAACTGATGCTTTTTAATATACAGGTAAAATAATACAGTATAGGGCTATATATACTGTATAGATGTTCTTTACTGATGCTTTATAATATATATGCAAAATAATACAATATAGGGCTATATATACTGTATAGATGTTCTTCACTGATGATTTTTAATATATGGGCAAAATAATACAATATAGGGCTATATATATATACTGTATATATATTATTCAGAGCTAATTTTAATATATAGTCAAAAATAATACAATACAGGGCTATATATATGTAGTGTACAGTTGTCCTTCACTGATGCTTTTTAATATATAGGCAAACATAATACATATTATATATTGTAAAATACACTTTTACTATAAATTAATATCGTACTTTTAATGTGGGATGTATTTACTTTTGCAATTTATTTCAGAAAATATAAAAAATGACCTTATATTTACCTCACATCAGTCATTTACAGAGCATAAACATCGCATTTCATTCACAGTTGCCTCATATTTACATCTATTTTACCTTATTAGACACGAGCATAAAAATGAGCCTCAAAGGCAAAGCACTCATCAATTATTTACGCATTCATTATGCTCATTTAAAGAGTAATCACCATTGTTTATATAGTAGTATTTGCAGTGTCAGGCTTGTGCGCGCGTCATGACGTCACCGCGCCGCTTGTCTCGTGTGTTTACGTGGAGAAACATGGCGGCTGCTGTGACAGCAGCACAGCCCGAATAAAACACAGAGTAAAACACACAGCCGATCACGCAGGTTGACCGTCCGATGCCAGCAGCCCGCGCTCTTTAGGCGGGTGTGTGTCTCTGTCTGTCTGTGTGTGTTTGTGCCGCTTTTATGACGCTCGTGTGTCCGTGTTTAAGCCGCAGGAACCGCACAGATGATGGAAGACGAGGAGCGACAGAGAAAACTACAGGCCGGCAAAGCCAAGGTGGGATTTACCTCATTCTTACCAATGTGCTTTCGGCGTGCTTCAGGTTTAACGCACATTTACCTCATTATCGCTGTAGTTTACCTCAGAATTGTCAAACTCCCATGTGAGATTCAGAGTACTGCTGTTATTTACCTCAGAAAACAGCTGACATCTGTTATCTGTCACCCATTTACCTCAGGTTTACCTCACTTCTGTCTTTGATCATAGTGATATACAGTGATAACTGTAATCAGTCACAGATTTACCTCATAATTAACCATAGTTTTACCTCACTTCTGTGAATTATCAAAGAAAGTATCTCACTTCTATGATCTGTTACATATTTTAAATCAGATTTACCTCTCTGTTGACTGTACACAGCATCATTTACTGCCTCTTTTACCACAATTTTACTCACATTTACCTCAGTTTAACCTCACAGCAGTTATTTACCTCAGAAAACAACTGACACATGTTATCTGTCACATATTTACCTCATTTTTACCTCAGGTTTGCCTCACGTCTGTCTGTTGTCAAAGAAAGTAACTGACATCTGTTACATATTTTAACTCTGATTTACCTCAGTATTGACTACACAGCATAATTTGCTGTCTACTTTACCTCACTTTGACTTATATTTACCTCATTTAACCTCACAACTGTTCTTTACCTCGGAAAACAACTGACATCTGTAATGTATTACACATTTACCTCAGGTTTACCTCACTTCTGTCATTTACCATAGAAAATAAGTGACAACTCTAATCAGTTGCATGTTTTAAATCAGATTTACCTCACAATTGACTTCACAACATCATTTACTGGCTTTATAAATCTTAATTTTACCTCACTTTGACTAATATTTACCTCGGTTTAACCTTACGACTGTTATTTACCTCAGAAAACAGTTGACATCTGTAATTTATCACACAGTTTACCTCAGGTTTACCTCACTTCTGTCCATCTTCAAAGAAAGTAACTGACATTATATATTTTAACTCAGATTTACATCACCGTTGATTGTACAGCATAACTGACTACCTATTTTACCACAGTTTTACCTCACTTTCTCTCTCATTTACCCCTGTTTAACCTCCCGACTGTTATTTACAGCTGATATCTGTAATTTATCACACATGTACCTTATTTTTACCTCATGTTTACCACTCTCATTTACCATAAAAAATATGTAATATGTAACGCAGATTTGCTCCAGGTTTACCTCACTGTTGTCTTTGCAGCATGGTGTATAGCCTCATATTTACCACAGTTTTACCTCACTTTACCTCGTATTTACCTCACAACTGTTATTTATTTTAGAAAATTCAAGAAATCATTAGTCCGTCATACATTTAACTCATCGTTGACTACACAGCATTATATACTGCCTCATTTTTACCACAATTTTACCTCACTCTGACTTATATTTACCTTAGTTTAACCTCACCACTGTTATTCACCTTGCAAAATAACTGACATCTGTAATCTATACCTCAGATGTACCTCTTTTTTTTACCTTATATTTACCTCACTTTTGACATTTAACCTTGGAAATAATTATGGAATTAAATGCAAATTTACCTCAGATAACCTCAGGTTTACCTCACTGTTGTCTGATTTATTCCTACAACAATTTTACCTAATTTTATTTCATATCAATGCATGAAATCTGTGATCTGTTACACATTTACCTCATACTTATCCTCGGGTTTACTTTACTGTCATTTACCTACAAAAATGATTTAACAAAATATATCAAAATTTTGCCCTCTGCCTCTGAATAACCTCAGTTATACCTCTTTTTGCCTCGTATTTACCCATATTTATCACATATTTACCTCAATTTTACCCCAATGCTGTGGTTTACTTCACTGTTATCTTTTCAGCATAATATTATGCCTCATTTACCTACATTTTACTCCACTTTGTCTGTTATTTACCACAATTTACCTCACATCTGTCATTTGCATTAGAAAACAACACTTAGACAATTCACACTGCCTTATGTTTAACTTAATTATACCAGTTTTTGCCTCATATTTATCCCATATTTACCTCAATTTTACCCCATTGATGTTTTCAATTAGATTGGAATCAACTTATAATCCCATCTAAAACAGCAGTGGGGTAAAATTGAGGTAAATATGTGATAAATATGGGTAATATGAGTGAAGTATTTACCCTATGTATAGGGTAAATGTGTAGAAGTATCTGACATCTGCAATGTGACTCCCATTTTTTATCTCCTGTTTATTTAATCACATTATTTGTTCATCAAAATAGCGTATATTGTGCTCATCAGCCAGTCAGAATCAGGCATATAACAGTGCTGTAGTAGAAGACGAGATTATGTGGTGTGTGTGTGCATCTGGCTGCTGCTGCAGGTTTACTGTGAAGCCAGTTTCTGTTGTGTTAACATGTGGATGGGCTTGTGAGACTGGATTTTCCAGCCAGGATCTGTTCTGTGCTTCACATTTCTGCATGTGAACAGATTTCAGGTCGCTGTAACCTGTGCTGTGATTGAGTAAAGGATGACGCATGATCATATTCAAGTGGAATCTGCAGTCAAGGCTGAAGTGCGTTATTATGTGCTTCACTGTTCCTTTAGTATCACTGGGTGACTCTGGCTGTTTTATATATTTATATCATTTATTTTGCTAGCTTTGTTTTCATTTTACTGACATTTTGTCTGTCTATTTATTTTTTAAGTCTTTAAATATAAATATGCATACTTTTGGTTTCATTTTGAGTTTACTTATAAAAGTCTTTATATGAATTTTAATTAGTTTTATTTTTAAAATTGTACAGAAATAGGACATTTCATTGGCTAAAATAACATAAGGGGATTTTTTTATATATTAGATATATTACATTTATTTAAATATAGTGTAATTAATTTATATTGTTTAATTTTTATTTTATTTAAAGGAGTAGCCAAAGCATCTTAGTCAACAAAAGTAAGGCTGAAGCAAGTTTTATCAGCTAAATAAATATAATTTGAATAAATATAAATATAATACATAAAAAAATGCTGTTTATTTAATTGTGGATTCCTGTTGTATTTTTAATAAAATCATTTAGAGTTAAAACATCCTTGCAAATCCCAACATGATTTAAAATTAATATTTCAATATTTAATTAGCATGTTCACTCTTCTCTGTTGAATAATGTGGGAGAAAATTTCATTAAGCATTAGCTATTTTCGACAAACCTTTTAAAATATGTTATTTAAATGCTTTTTTGATTGATTTTTCATTATCATTTCATAAATTCGTAGAGCTGAGATTCATGGAGGTTTCTGTACTGCAGTAATGTCCACGCTGCCTTCCATGTGTTCAATTTGATGCACATTGATGAACTTTTACTGTTTGAGCACTGTGTATCATCACGTTTCTGTTGAACACACACTGGCCTCTTCAGGGCGTGATAACACAACCTTGTTATTTTATAAATAGAGCAGATTTCTTGTCTAAAAATACCCCAAGTCTGAATCAGCGTCGAGATCGTGACCCCTTGGTTCTCGCACGCTCACTAGGAAGTGAGCATATGTGAGTGAGGTCACTTGTGCTGACCTACACAGAGCCGTCTGTCTAATTCCTGCTGACAGTTCCAGGTGACGGCTCTGGGTTCGTCCTGTACAAACAGACAGATGTCTTCTAGATCCATCTGTACATCTCACACTTTCTGACTTCACGAAGGAGAGATATTTACAGTTTGCTTACAGCTACTGAACATCTGCTTTTGGGCTGAATTTCAAAGAGACAAACGTTTTGTGAAAAGGAAAACAAATGTTTCGTTGTACGCTTCAGATGACAGATCCACTAGAGGGCGCTGTCTAAATATTAGTGAATTTCAAATACACCACTTATGGTTTGTTTTGTTGTATGTTTCATGACAAGTCCACTAGGGGGTGCTGTCTGTATTTACAAATTACGTTTTTGTTGCAAATTTGAGATGACAAATCCACTAGAGGGCGCTATCTACATTTTTGTGAATTTCAAATGTATTACTTTAAGGTAAATGCTGTTCTACATTTCAGAAGACAGATCCACTAGAGGTCATTGTTGTCATTTTTATTAAACGTAAAAATGCATCACTTCGTGTACGTTTAGTTGCACATTTCAGATAAATCTACTAGAGGGTGCGGTCTACATTTTTGAAAATCTTAAATGTATTACTTAGAGCATGTTTGTTGTAAGTTTCAGATGACAAATCCACTAGAGGGCGCTGTCTACATTTTTGCTAATCAAAAATGTTACTTAGAGCATGTTTGTTTTACGTTTCAGATGAAAAATCCACTAGAGGGCGCTGTCTACAGTTTTGTGAATGTAAAATAAATTGCTTAGGCTACGTTTCATTGCACATTTCAGATAATAAATCCACTAGAGGGCATTGTTCATATAATAGTAAATTTCATATGTGTTACTTATGGTATGTTTTGTTGTATGTTTTATAACAAATCCACCAGAAGGTGCTCTCTACGCATTTACGAATTACGTTTTGTTGTACATTTAAGATGACCAATTCACTAGAGGGCACTGTCTACATTTTTGTGAATTTCAGATGCATTACTTTAGGGTAAATTTTGTTGTACATTTCAGAAGACAAATCCACTAGAAGCCACTGTCGTCGTTTTTATAAATCGTTTAAAAAAATGCATCACTTCGTGTATGTTTAGTTGCATATTTCAGATGACAAATCCACTAGAGGGCGGTATCTACATTTTTGAAAATCTGCAGAATGCAACTTAGAGAATTTTTATAACGTTTCAGATGACAAATCCAGTAGAGGGCGCTGTCCACATATTAGTTAATTTCAAATACGTTACTTAAGGTATCTTCTTGTACTTTTCATGACAAATCCACTAGAGGGTGCAGTCTACATATTTACAAATTACGTGTTGTTGCAGGGGTCATTGTTGTCATTTTTATAAAAGTAAAAATGCGTCGCTTTGTGTTTTAGTTGCACATTTCCACTGGAGGATGCTGTGCAAATTTTAGCAAATCTGAAATATCTTA